TGGAGGGATGATTTATATGCATGATGTGTTTTTCTGAAAATATATCTATTTACATGATGAATATTGGATATGTTGTTGAGTTGGATTATTATTATAGTGCATTAGCCATATGTATATGTATGTGGGGTATTCCACACGAGACGGTAATCCCTAAGCATGTCTGGCCACATGCAAGCTGGTAACTCCGTGTGTGAGGTACATGGTGGACTCCTTATACTGTGGGTTGTAGATGTACATAATGCCTACATTTTGTTCTCTGGCTAGTAGGATGCATTCACGCATGACATGGATATATGCTGCATTGCACAGATTTTGCTATTTTATTATTGTTATCATTTTGAACTTATATTGCACATGTATGTGAGCTTAGGGTGAAGAGATCCTTGATGACCTCTTGCCTTACTGAGATTTCTTGTTAGAGATCTCCCCTGTGTGGGGCACATTTTCAGGTACAGGTACTTCTGAGGTTGAGACCTCTAGCGGCAGGAGGCCGGAGTTGAGTTGAGATGATGCATGCACCCTGCCATATTATTATGATTTATGCCTTGTTGTTATGTACTTATGACTATTGTATTTGAGACATGATTTGACTATGTTGCTTGATTTGGTAAGCATGAGAGTTATCCATGCCACAATTGAATAAGTTGTGTTATTTCATACTGGAGTTGTATTATTGTATCAAGATATATCTGGTCTACGTGTAGTAATTCCATGACTTGATACATTATTTATGTTATAAGGTTATTCAGTTTAGTTATTTATTGCAGTTGACATACAGACGATTTTTGAAAAAGAATTACTAAGTTAATATGATAAGGTTCATAATGGAAATTTTTAGCTTTCACATTTATTGAGCTGAGCCTATTACCTTTTATATGTTTAATACATGGGGTGTTACACCTTCTCTCTCTCCTCCCACCTTTTCTCTCAATCGACGAAGCCAGAGACAGAGAAGAACATAGGATCGAAATCCCTTGTGAGTTTGAATTGATTTTTTGTTCCCTCTATTTGTCATGACTCTTATAAAATAATATTGTTTATCGTGGTTGATGCCCAATATGCCAATAGTATAACAATGATTCAAATACCAAATCCCTAGCTTTATCTCTCTTCAACGATACTTCAGCAACCAAAATTGTATTAAAAAGGGCCAAATAAATTTTTATTGGAAATAATTCTTTCATTTTGCAGACAAACAAAGGTTTTATTTCAGAAGTTCTAGTAACAAACACAAAACCTTGTTGTGAGTTTTAATTCTTCCTCTGTCTTCATCGATAGAGAAAAAGGGTGGGAGGAAAGAAAGAGGTTAAATAGTTTATTTTATTTGGCAAATCTCCACCGTTAGATGAGATTATAATCTAACGATGTTGAGAGGGATAGACAATAATAGAAAAAATAAGAGTATGTAGAATAACTTATCCTTTTTACAAGTGTAAAAATAGTTTTATCTTTTATAATACAAAACAATTTAAACCCTTAGATATGTTTCCGTCCAAGGGTGTACTCAATTGGGGAGACAGAATCTTATGTGAGAGTGGGGTGAAATTATATGTATTTTAAAAATTATAATTAAAATAAAAAATTATATAATTAAATAGAAATACTCAGAATATATAAATTACTGTTTATGAACCACAATATAATATAATCTAAATACTCAAATCAATTGGATTGACTACAAAATAAATTTAATTTAATTTATTATATGTTGATATTAATATTTACATAAACATCAAATATGTTTGAGTTGACTAGAAAATAAAATAAATTTAACATGTTTAAATTTACTTTGTAAAAATTTTCTAATCCTAATTCTGTTCTTGTTATTTATTTATTATTTATTCTTATATATTGTTATTTTGATAAACATTAAATTTATTTAAAATTGGCTAGAAAACAAAACCAATTTTATCATGTTTACATCTAATTTTTTATCCAATTTTTAAATCCTTATTCAATTATTATTATCTTGTTCAATTATTATATATTGATATTTAGATAGACATCAAATATATTTGAGATGGATTAGAAAATAAATCAACTTTATTATGTTTAAATTTAAAAGTTTACTGTCGTATCTTTCCAATATGTTACACATTTTTATATATTTTAAACTAATTTAAATGACATTACTTTTTAATAAAATGAGGGAAAAACGTAATAAATAAGATGATGTGTTGTGTCAATCTATAATGCACATACACTTCAAAATACTTGATGTGTCATGTCCAACACTTTCCGACACTCCAATACGCATTGTAGAGACTCAAAAAAGGGTTCGAAGGTTGCGTTGTGTTTTTAATTCTAACTATTAAATTCATTAGATTACGATTACCACTCTATTGAGTTTAATATAAATATATGAGATATTTTATGTTTATTTGTAAAATTGATGAATATCAAATATAATATACACTGTGTAAATTAAAAATATTATGTAATATCAAAACGTATCATAACGTGTTGAAATCTAATATTTTTTTAGAATTTACGTATCAGAGAGTGTCGTATTGTGTCCAGTATACTGTGTCGATATTGGTGTAACATAGCTGTCAATCATGACTGCTTAAACTATAGTTAATATAGTAGTCGATTTTAAAAAGTGAAGGGGGATAATCTTCCATCTAGCTCCGCTCTGACTCCACCACTGGTGTAGTATGTGAATATTCTAGTGAGATAAATAGTGTTACGAATCAGAGGTCAACAATGGAATTACCCAGTGAATCTCATGTAAACAATAAGAATCAAGAGCTATGAAGCACCGATACTCCTTAAATTTTTTTCCAACGTATCGGATACGCGTATCGGAAACGTATCGGACACGTATTGTATGGTAATTGACATCCTGTATCATCAAAAACGTATCGAAAACGCCGTATCGGTGCTTCATAGATCAAGAGGAGGTGAAGGACACAATGACTCTTATAATGTAAGATCATGATGTATATCAACATTTAATTAGTTATAATCATGATGTACTTCATAAAATTAAGGATGGTCATGTTTTTCATATTTACTTTAGAAACAAACACTTTAGATGATTTTTTTTTCAATTAGTAATGCTTGTGATGACAAACTGAATTAGTTTATGATGGGGTTTAATATTGCAAGTGGTGCATAATTGAAAATGTTGCAGTAGCTGGAAGGAACTTTGGCATTAAGTCAACACAATTTGTAGTTTTACTAATTCAGCCATTTCTTAAGGGCTACGGCTTTACGGTCACGAAGAAACTTCATATCAGTGCGTAAAAGGAACAAAACGTAAACTTTATTCAATTGATCCAAAAGTCGAATATTCAATATTTCCGGTGGATTAAAAAAACATACATGAGAGCACAAAAATTCATATATATGCCAACTTGCTAAGTGCCTGTTTGACTTGCTTGTGAAATTTCTATTATGGAGAGAATCACTTTCGTGAAAAAGTACTTTTGAGCACTCTTTTTGGCACAATGACAATACAAAAGTTTTGTTCTTCGGTGTATTAATAAGGCTCAAGTGTGCAACCAACGATGGTTGATTTATGTATCGGTTTTTAATGAAATTTTCTTTGTAAGAAACAAGATAAAAGACCAGCTTCTTGGAATGTATACTTTGGCCTTTTGGGTATAAGGTATTGAACCCTTTGCAAGAACAGGTGAGGTGTCATATATAATGAATGCTATGGTGTGTTTAGTACAAGAGAAATTTTTTGATATTCGAGAATCACGATTACTAAAAATACAATAGAAATTGAGTTTACCCGAAATGTTACGAAAAAGGTGTTTGGTTCGCCAAAATATTACCGGAAATATTGGGTAAAGATTGTTGTTTTTGTCTCAGAAATTGTTGTTCTCCTTTCCCTTCACGTTGGAATCATGATTACCATATTATTTTTGATAATCAGAAATTCAGAACAGTGAATTTTCTTTGTAAACGATATTACTGGTAATTTAAGGATAGCCGAGAACTGGACTTGTTTACTTCTACCAAACATGGCTATTTACGTTTACCAGAAAATGTTTACCAGTCATCTTTCAAATACCCTTATACCAAACACACCCCTAGTGTAACGTGTAATGTGAGTCCCGGTAATGAAGGCCATACTGAGATTGGGAATGCCGAGTTTGATGTTGGAACCATCATTTTAGGTGTTGAAATACATTTAGGGCTCGTTTGATGGACATGATAGGATAAGGGTAGGATATGATATGATAAACCTATATCATGTCCTGTGTTTGATGAGCACCTGATTAGCAATTTGATAAGATTATATAGAAGGAAAAAGCAGAAAAATAAAATAAAATATAATGCAATAAATACAAATATATTGGGTAGCGTGAGGATATATTGAGTATTCAATATTGGTATCTTATCCTGTTGAATCCTAACCCAGCTCCTTCCATAGGATAAGAAATCATGTATTGGATAGGATAAAATGAAATAATAAGATAAGCTAATCATATCCTATTGACCACCAAACAAGAGATAAAAATAGGATATGATAAGTTATCCTATTCTATCTTCTTTATCAGGTGCTCCAAACAGGCCTTTAATATTTGAATAAGATTGATATTGCTATATATATTATAATTTTTTTTTTGTTAATAAATGAAACATAGGGATGACAAAGACCTAGGGGTCAATCCAGCACAAGTTTAAACTTTTCAAAAACTACTCATCACTAGCATACATTTAATGTTTTTTTTTTTTACTGTTTATAATATTTGATTTTCATCACGCACTAAGAGTAGGACCAAGAACATTAGAATAATTTACTCCAAAGTTGCAGAAAATTGAAGAGCAGGACCAAGTTACTCATATAACAAATTTTTTCTTCGCAGAATCTTATGTAGAAACAATAATTTTTGGGCAAAAGTCATTTCCTTGATATATTTATTACAGGAACAGATCACCTTAGAGATGATGTTATTTACGAAGACAATTTTTAATTGAAACAACTTATTAAATTTACACAATGAAAAAGATAATTGTGATTTACTCTTAGAATTGTATACCACCTCGTGTATATAGAAGCAAAAAAGTAGATCAACCTGTAGGATGAAAGTACAGAGAAGAAATAATTACATTCCAAAAAAGGTTGCACATTTAGTAAGCATATCAAATGATCAATGGCTTGCTCTCCAGAAAACTCAGACTTCTGGAATTGGTGTTAGTTGTTCCTGAAAAACAAAAAACAAAATTGAAGGAATATATAAGCATCATGAGAATACCATATAATAGTTACACAAAAGGATGCTAAGAATTTACTGAATTACCTTATGCCCACGATGTAAATTAGAAGATTTAACGATTTTTTCCCACTTAGGATCCAGTGATGCTGTGTTGGGAGTTTGAGTTGGTGCATGAATTTTGGCAGCAAGATTAGACAGTGAAGATATATTCCTTGAAGAAACATTAGGTAAAGTACGCTTGAGCCAAGACTCTGAAGGAGCTTTTGGTAAAGGAAGGGCAAGAGGAAGCTTCAAAGAGCTTGCATCTGATGTTAACTTCATATGTGATTGGCTTTCTATGTCAATCTTCTGGTCACTAACCAATTTCACGTTTCTCCATGAAGCAGGATTCTGAATAAGGTCATCAGAACTTTTTTTACTGAAAGAAAATTTACTTTCTGACTCTATTTTCTTGCATTCAACCATTTTTGGGCTTGAAGTTGCATCCAAATCGTTATCTAACTTACTTCCTTGGAAGCTAGGCTTTGTCAACCCTTGCTTTTCTGAGTATATTTTGTTGGAATGATTTATCACTTCCTTCTGCATGTCACCACTGAAATTATCAGAACACAGGCGGAGAAATGACTCAAGAGACACTGGATTTTTAGGTAGTAATGCTGCTTTCTCATCCACAATAACCAAGTGTTTGCTATCCTCAATGGAAGAATCTATGAAAGGATTTTTATCAATGCTACTGTCTTTTCTTAAATTCTCAAAATCATCCCCTATGTGATTGGTTGGACCCATCATTTCAGAAGAACAGCTTGAAGGTTTAACCTCATGTACAGAATCTACATATAGAGTCTTCTCAGCAACAGGGCTTTCACAGCTTGATTCAAATTGAGTGCTTTCACGGGGTAATAATTTGCTGCTGCAGCCTCTTCGATGAGGATCAAAGCCATGCTTAGATTTTTCAGGAATACCAAGAAAATCTTTCTCTTTAGTAAAGCCAGATTGGGACTCTACTGTCTTTCTCCCATGATTAACAGTTTTAGCATGCTGCAGAAGAAAAAAGTTTAACAAGAAGAAATAGAGCCTAAAGTGAAATAATAAAAAAACACAAAAGAAAAGTTGGTAGGGACAAATTAAGACCTCTTTCGCAGTTCTTCTGTGAGAAGCAATTGATTTACCCTGCACTCCATGAACTGCAGAACTCAGAATCCTATCCTCCATTCTTAATCCTGGTATTGGATTCAATAGGCAGAATCGAGGAAATAGCCCACAAACTTTGGGTGCATAGTTTTCAGATCCATCATCATCATCACTTTCATCTTCACTTTCTTCCCTACCAATATCTTGGGCATAATGTGGCAAAACCTTTTGCCATTTCGGATTAAGGGGACGCGACTTAGCCTCATTCACTACTTCCCTTATTTGTCTCGGTTGTTCTTGTGTAACAAAGGGCTTCCTAGAGGTGTATTGAACTTGAGGTGTTTCAGAAGCCATTGCCTTTGCTGCAGGCAAGAACCTGCCAATCATGAAATCACGAGCCTGTTGATCTGTTGAGAATTTTCCAGATGGCTGGACTTCTTGATCATCCCATCCACTCAAGCCACTCACACTACAATTCATGAAAAATGATTCAGTTCTAGAAAGTGTATCAAGAGCATCTTGATAGGTCTCATTCCCATCATCTGAAGCAGAACTTGCCTTTTCCTGAATTACTTCTTTTGGTCTTTCATTTTTTGTCACTTTATTATCTAAAGATGCAAGACTCTGAGAGTTGGAAACGGGGCTTCCTATTCTGGACTGAATAACTGATGTACCTATTGCAACTTTATCAGAATCTTGTTGTTCAACTTTCAAAATCCTCCCAGGTGGAAGCTTTGGAGTAATGGAAGGCCGTTCAACAGCCCGTGTTTGTAATTTGCTTTCATTCTTAGGTCTTCCAGGAGCCTTTTCCCATACAAAAGGAACAGTACCAGGATTACTAACTGGACCTGATTTTAACTCTGATTTGTAAGCAGGAAGAGGAGGTACTTTGGCTAATGACTTATCAGTTTTCCTTTTATTGTTATTTTCAGAGGCCACTGTTGATGAGAATCGCCTTACTGATAAAAGTGGCTGATTAAAATCTAACTGCTTTTCTTCCATTATAGTGTTTTTGTATCATGTAGTTGGTCTCTGCAAATCACCAAGGTCAAATCAAATTGTAACTGAAACTTTCAGATGCATGGACTAAATACCAAGAAAACAAAATGACATTTTCGCATTTGCTATTTCGCTACGAATTACACTGAAACATGAAATTGAATTAGTGAAAGGAGATAATCTCAAGGCAATTTGTATATGAAATGAAACATGAGAAATAAGACGACAGAACCAAAAATAAATTCTACATGATTCCCCATTTCTGTTTGACTATTGGTGACACAACAGGGATTGAGTTTTGACTGAAAGTTCATTCACAGTAAGCAGACTGAGCTTACGTCTAAATAAGAATATAGCTTTCAAGGTTTTTTATTTCTTAAATCTTAATCTTTTGCTATCCTAGAATATTGGACTATCTGTACAACCCACTAAATCATATAATTAGGATATTATAGAATTGGAGACTATCCCATTAGCTTTTCACAAGATGGAAAAAATTTAAGTTATAGGACTCTCAAAAGAGAATCTTTTTAATAGCATTTCCATAGAAACACCATATAATGATGTAACTGATATAAACCAGAATCCTCCTATTCATCTCCACAGGGAGGGAGGAAGGAAGGAGGTAAAAACAAGGAAATTGCATTAAATGGGTTTGAAAATTGAAAGAAGTCTATTAAACAGAGGTCAAATAAACCATTTTCTTAACCAATAGAAAGCATTAGAAAATTGACAAATAGGATACCATTTTACCCTTATCCAATAAAAAAAACATGTTAATAGTACTTAGAATTGCATAACTAAAAAAGTCATCGAGAATAGACAAATGAAAGACAGCTAGCTAATCTAGACTAACCAGGGAGAAGCCCAATAATATATTCAATATTTGATTTGAATGTACACAATCCTACCCAGTTCTTAAATCAAAGTCAAATCAAAACTAACCACTTTCAAGGAGAACAAACACTCACCAGAGAAAGGCAAATTCCAGTTTCATTAGTTAGAGCTAAGACCATAGTTCATTTTTTATTTTTATTATTATTTTTTTAAAGGTCACTTTATTAAACAAGAACAAGGGCCAATATAATTTTTTATGCAACCACCAACATCAACATCAACAACACATGAACCCTTATGATTTGATGCAACCACCAATAAAATAAAAATAAAAATTGATGCAAGACATTTGAATAAGGAAATTCCATTCACCCTCAATATAAAGTTGTATTTTTTTTCTACACTGTTCTATCAATCAAACAAACCCCACTGTACCATTCATCGCCATTTACCAAACCCAAGAAACACCGACACAGAGAGAGAAGGGTTGTGAAAAAGAACCTCAGAAGAACGACCAGACCCAGAAATCAAATCACTTTATTCCTCAGCAGATTAGGAGAATGCAACCTTCAAAGCCCCCCTCAGAGAAGATACAAGAAAAGGAAGCTTCGTGTCTTGCACAAGAACATGGGAGAAAGAAGAGAGAGAAAATGCTTAGAGAGAGAAAGAGAGAAAGAGAGCGAGAGAGCAATGTTTGAGAATAAACGAGTTTGTACTTCGTACGTTTGTGTTTATTGCTGCTTGGTTGGTAACAGAGCAGAGCTTACCAGCTGATGCCGCACAGTGCAAATCTTTTTCTTCTTTTTTTATATTATTAGGATTTGATATTTATATTTTGAGATAGGATCATTTGACACCAGTGTCAAATTTTAAATTTGACACTTCATCCGAGAGTTGTTAGATCAGAAAAGATCAACGACTCTGATTTGTAAGCATCTGACACCGTTGATCTTTTTTTATCTAACGACTCTTAGATGAGGTATCAAATTGGTATCAAATGATCCTATCTTTTATATTTTATATCTATATATATAGGGATACGTTATTGTGCCTACTTCTATTTTACCTACTTTTGCCCACCCCTTTCGTTACCGTTCGATTACCATCTCATCCAACGATCTATATTTGTGATATAAAATAAACCTTTTTTTCTCTTTCTTTCTTCTCACTTTCTCCCATACCCTTTCTCTCTCCTCTCCTTTCTCTATTCCTCTACACCATACCTAATTTTTTTTCCCTTCTGCCGTCGTGGACCTCAATCTCCTGACAAACTGTTCAATTCTAATGATATTTTTAATCTTTATAAATTAATACGATTGAATCGATGACTAACAAAGAAGTTTTGATGTGATTCAAAGCGGCGGTCGATCTGTTCACAGAATCCTCCTTGTCTCTGCTTCAATATGTCGATATGTTCTTCCACATGATAGATACTCTTAATTTCTAATAATTAATTGGTTATCCGTATCAACATAATTGCTTGAATGGCACCAATTAACCCTCTTTCCGGATTTTTCCAATATCAATTTTTTTTATTCTTTAAATTTTTACTTATTTTGAATCTTTTCCAACTCTGCACAGATCTTTTGAATCACATTAAAACTTCTTTGTTAGTCATCGATTCAATCTTATTAATTTATAAAGTTTATGTTGTTCTTCAGATCTAGAAATTTGTTGTGATTTTTCAATCCATTGACACTGGTAGTTTGATAGAAACTGATTCAGAAGGAGAAAATTTATATTACAATAATAAAAACAAAGACTAATGTATATTGACGATGATTTCAAATGCTGTGGTAATGATTTCAAATGCTTCCCGTTCACCTGGGCAGAGATTAACGATAAAGGGAACAAAATAGGTATATGGCAGATGAAGAGAGAAAGGGGAGGAGAGAGAAAGGTGAGGAGAGAGAAAGGGTATGGGTGAAAGTGAGAAGAAAGAAAGGGAAAAAAAAATTTATTTTATATCACAAATATAGATTGTTGGATGAGATGGTAATCGAACGGTAACGAAAGGGGTAGGCAAAAGTAGGCAAAATAGGAGTAGGCACAATAACCTATCCCATATATAAATATGTGGACTCCTGTGAATTTACGTAAAAAAAATATATATGGATCTTTTTATCTATATAAGGAATAATTTTATTCCTTTACAATATTTGAGACCAATGTTATTAAAACTGGCCCGCTCATTGACTCGGTCGAGGTACTGGGTTACTGGGTCACTGGTTCAACCAGTGGGTCACTGGTTCAATCGCATGACCCAATAATTATATGTAATTTTATAATTTATATTAAAAAATTATAAACATACTAAAATATCTAAAATGATAAAAATTTCAAATATTTTAATATAAAAAATAATAAATCACATATTATTATTATATAAAAAATCAAACAAAAATATAATGATCGTGATACGGGACTTTAGGTTCAGAAAGCGACATAGTATATAATTGAGATAAGATTAGTGTTGTAGGTACATAACTTATGTAAGTCAATAAGTAAAAAAATATTCAAATAAGTCCATTATGATTTATTTTTTTTAAAAAAAAAAATTTGGAATTTTTTTTTTGGACCGGGCCGGTTTGCCGGTTAATCAACCGGGTCACTGATTTTTTTATGAAAACTGGCTCGGTCAGACCGGGTCGCACCGGTTCTGATGCATGGCTGGTCCATTGCTTCAACCAGACCAGTTATATGACCGGTTTACCGGTTCTCGGATCGACCCGACCGAGTCGGTCCGGTTTTAATAACTATGTTTGAGACATTAAACTCATAATAATAATAAATATTATTATTATAACAATTTGAAAGTGAATTTTGTATGAAAAAAAAAAAAAAAGGTGTTGTGATTATTTTAATGTTCATGGAGCTACTTGTGCATTTATTTAGGGGCCACTTGGGTGTGGAATCATGTGAAGGAGAAAGTGGAGAAAGCCAAGCGACATGAATCATATGATTATGAAAGTGCCTTCAAAATTGTGAAATTTTTTAATATGGATAGAAAAAGAGTTTCCAACGCGAAAACGAGAAAAGAAAAGTCCCACACTGCTTTACGTGTTCAATTATCAAGGGATGATCCTAGCTAAGCATATGGGTCCACTACATTTTTGCATTCATGAAGAGAAAGTGCCCCCTTTCTTCTTTAATTTTGATCTTTTATGTTTCATTTGTTTTACTGATATTATTAGGAAGGAGATTGTTTTTCTTATCTTACATAAGATAAAACAATTCTCCTACACAAACAAATTTTATGTGGAACTCATTTTAAATTTTTTCTCTTTTTTTTATTCTCTCTCCTTTCTCTTTCTTTTGTGAGTGTAGGAACATTGCTCTTATCTTATGCAAAATAAGAAAAATAAATCTCTATTAGTAATATGACAAAGGGAAATGTAAAAGTTACGTCACAGGAAACAAAATTTTTTTCCTACAGATATCGCTTTTTGGTGGGACCCACGAATTTATAAAACAAAAAAGAATGAAGTGCGCTTATTGATAAAAATTGTGAGTGCAGGAAATTTCTATTTATTTATTTTTGTATATCCAAAAGTTTAAGTGAGATTAGACACCGGTATCCCACTAGGGTCAGGGAAGATCCCCAACCTCTTTGAGGATTTCTGAGATGGATTACATATCACCCGCCAACAAATTTCTATTCTTTCATGTTACATAACTCTTACATTTTCCTATGAAAAATCATGTCATAACTTTTTCTGTTGTGCAAAAAATAAGAAAGGAAAAGAAACCAATGTACAAAGCAAATAGAATCAGGCAATCAGCTACAAAACTTTGAAGTTCAGCTTAAAGAAAAGAAAAAAAGAAACAAAAAAGACTTGAACGTTGTAAATACTAGCTTCAAAATTTTGAAATTTAATTCATGTCAATGTAAAAAGATTTACACTTTAAGATATTTTTAAAAAATAAAGTACATAAATATATACCATAACATAAAAAAGATCATACAATTTTTAAAAGAATTTTATTAATTTCATGCAATAGGAGATAAACTCTATCATGTTATAGCGATAATTACATGTGAGACCTACCCATTTATATATATATATATATATATATATATATATATATATATATAAAGTAACATGAAAATTGATATATGAGAAAAATATTTTTCAACAATTACATGAGAATATATTTTCCCTTTTTAAAAAAGGGTAATACTTCTCTTATGTTGCATTAGAGAAGTATTATCTCGTGCTCAAACAATAGCTAGGAGAGAGAAAAAAGTTGAAGGTGAGAGAAAAAATCTTGTGAGACCCATTTAAAAAATGTAAGTGTAGAATATAATAATCTTTTTATGTAACATAAGAAAAGTAATTCCCTTTAAAAAATATAAAATATTAAGTAAAACAAAGCATGATATGAGACTATTATTTAGCGGTACTTATCTTTTT